TTTGCCATTCAGTGTGTTGATGAAGGCTGTCAGCTTCTCTGTGTTCATCTCCTGCAGAGGAGACAAAGACTGAGGGTGGGCATGTGGACCAGAAGACGACATAGAGCGGTGACAAGGGCACATCAGATATTCAAGTGGCTGCTTGATTAAAAAAAATACCTCTTCTCCAAAGTTAATTACATCCACATTGACTTTTTCTTTCTTCAGTCGCTTTGCCATTTTGACCAGCTACGGGAAAAGAGAAATATTTCAGCTGTCACCAACACATGACACAACATTTTATATTAGGGACCTCACAGATATATTAGTACACTGTCACTATGCAGATGAATAAGTGCCTGATTCATGAAGAAGCATTACTAAGGAATCACATTATTCACCAATGTTCCCTTTATTATGTCAATTTAATCCTCTTTTGAGAGGAAGGCCTCCACTGTCTGCACATTTCCACTGATAATATAATGGTATAATTTGCAGAAAAAAACATACTAGTCGTAAATTGTGTTTAACTTCTTAATAGATATTGACCTTTTCTGCTGAGTTTGTCACATCTTTATGTAACCCAGGGAGCAGACTTACTGCATTGGTGTATACATATGGCAGTGTTCAAAATGCATTCTGTAACTATTTATCATAATTACTGTCTACCATCACATCAAAAAAGATCTTTATAGTCTGATATTGTTAAAAATCTCCTCCCCAGTAATACATGATAACTAGTAACAGGCAAAACACACTCACTTCTTTTTCGTTGTCCTCCACTGGGCTACCAACGAATGCAATAATGCGCATCTTGTGGTTTTTGCCCTGTCTGTGCTTCAATGCCAACTACAGAGAGAGACATAGCATATTTAAAAAAAGTAAGTCCATATCAATTGACAAAGTGCATTTATGTGTCAAATAAAAGAGTAAGATCTTTTTCACCACAGACATTTTGCCATGTCATAGCAGGAACAGGAAAGAAAATAACATTAATGAAGGCTGCATTATATTTAGGTGAGTGAGCTCCAGTTCTGTAAGTAGGGTCACTGGAATGGCTAACTGAGACTTAACTGAATGTTACTTGTTACTGTGCTTTTCCTGCAATGAGAAGTGAAGTGTCTGCTATGAAAAAGCCTATAATGTCAAATCCCCTTTTTGAATCTCAAACCAGTTGCCCTGTGTTCATACTCTGTCATGAGAGACAGCAAGCACCTAAAGTTTGCCCTAGTTTTAGATAAATGCTTATTCAAATGTTCCTAAAAATTCATTCTTTTTCAGCTCCTCTATTGGTGTCCCGTAGGAGAGGCAGGAGCGCACTGTACTTTATCACTAATGAAAATCACAAACTCACATGTGCCACCCTGATGCCGGTGCAGAAGCTGATGTTTCCACGAGGCTGCACAGCATGCAGCTTGGACAGTATTCTCCCCGTGTCAGGAGTCAGTGTGGTCAGCACCTCACAGTTGCTGCACAGAGACGTAACACTTTTGTTATTAAATTACTATATTTTAAAAGTTACTACATGAATTCAAAACACATTGCCTCTTACTTTGCCATGGTGATGAGGCCCACGTTGTTTTCGGGGTTGCTGCGGGTCTTAGAGTGACAAACAATATTAACTGCATCCTGCTGAGCCTGCAGCCTGGTTGGCAGAAAGTCTCCATTTCGCATGTACTCACTGTTGTCCACACTAAGAAAAATGAACAGTCATGTTAGGAAGAAGAATTATTCATTATCCAAGAATGTTTTACACACACAGGAAATTAAACCTCTGCATTTAACCCATCTGCAAGTAGTTCTGTAGTAGTGTTGTAATTACTGGTTCAAACAATGTAAACTACACAGACTGTATAAATATTAGTTGTTATACCAATATCCACATGACAATACACTTACAGTACATGTACATCGCAGTTGAGAATAGTGGACAAATCAATCAATATTAAGGCGTCACTTTGAGCTTTAGGAAACTGTGATGGTCATTTTTAGCCATTTCATCAATTGATCAATGAAAACAACAATCTGTGACTTAAACAATGATGAAAATAATTGAAGCAGCCCAACACAATAACAAAATAAAACCCATGATAGCCCTTCAGCAAACCGCTACCTTATAAAAATTGTAATATTTTTTTTATTCTAACAGGTATTTCATGTTGTGTACTCTCCCTGAATGCATCCTCAATTTAAAGACGGCTCCTGTTAGTGTGATAACTATAACAATACAACTGAATAACATGTTAGCTTGGTTTGTTAGGCTGCTCAATTAAAGGCAACAATAGACCCCTCTGGAAAGCAGTTACATGTTTTGACAATGACAGTAGGTTTTGCTAGCTAGCTAATGCTAACGCGTTAAACAACGGCATTATTCAATTTGAGGCTCAATTTGGATTTTACATTTGAGATCCACAAACGCTAGGAAACAACGCTACATTGATAAGCGTTAGTGAAGACATAACTTGTTAAATGGCCGTAACCTGACTAAAAAGCTGTTGGTTAGCTGTGTACTCGAAGCTCCTTTTGGCTAACGTTAGCTAGGTGACTCAGGGAATAGCTTGGGCATCTTGCATCCAAAATATAACAAGTAAACCTGCATGAATGTTCCAGACAAACGATACCAAAAGATGTAAACTTAGTCCATCAAGTAACAACTTACTCTGAATAAAGTTAGCCTTCTTAGTTTTAAATTTAAACGTATTTCTAAATCCTTACCAGACCATAGTACTTTCAAGCACCATCTTGACGTCTGTGGTTGCTACGTCATCGTGATGGTTTGTGGGTAATGCAGTTTTTTAAGGTAGAAAAAATATCTGAAAAAAAACACTATGAATTTCATACAATGTTAGTATAATTAACATCTATTAATAACGGTGGGATACATTGCGCTCCAGAGTTGAGGCTTAATTTCACACTCAAGTAAACAACTATAACAACATTAACTTTCTTTCTTCAGAGCATTTCTTGCTCTGTGAGGTTCACAGCTAGTATATCAGACTGCATTCTGTGTCTTGGATCAGTGGTGTGCACAGACTCTCAAATGGCCAGGGGCAACACTGAAAAAGGGGGCATCTCTTGGGGCTGTTGGTTGTGAATGCACAGACATCTTAATACAGAATACGTTTGTTCAGTGAGATTTATAGAATACTTCTGTAGGGGCACCACCTCATATGCTTCAGGCTATAGGTGCCCTGTGATAGAAGAATGTGTAGCGTGTGACATTAGCGCAAAAATGAATCATGGAATCGTGCAAGTTAGCCATTAGAATATATAAATAAATAGATAAATATACATTTATATATATATACATATATACGTTTATTTATTTAAATATATACATATAAGCCTACAGACTCAAAAAGTATCTCACTTACAATAGGTTCCCCCCCTTGTTAGATTTATCTTAGATTCGGGAAAGAGTCCACAGTCCTCCACAGTGAAAGCAGGGCAAACAACTTTTGTCTCACAGGTAAAAGTAGGTCAGACAAACCAAACCTGGAGTGTCCCAGTCATCAACACAAAGCTGACACAGCCAGGCTACAAGGTAAAGGATACTCTATACCTCAAAAAATCCAAGAGTTTTTGTAATTCATTTTCAAACTTAGTCATTTGTTATTTAGAAAAACTCTGATGATTGAATTTACTTCTCTTTTAAAAGAGATGGTAAAACTACAGAAGCTGCCAAGCTGTGATGAATGAAGCAATAAGTGAGCTGAAGTGATTGTGTAAGCATAAAATTACTGCAAAAAGAAAAGAACACACTTTCTATCGCTGTCATTTCCTCCAAACACCTGGCACTCTATGTGTGCCACCTGGCGCTCAGACAATGGGTTGGCTCAGCTGTGGATGGACGGCAAGCCAACCATCAAGAGATACATCCAATCTGGGCAGCCCACCAGCGGAACACCCATCACCGTCCTGGGCCAACAGACTGACACCTATGTAGCAAGTTTAAGCACAGATTGGTCTTTCATTTGTATGATTCCTAGAGTCCACATGTGGGACTACATCCTCTCTGCCCATCAGCTCAAACGCTATTTGAATGACAAACACTTAGCCCGGGGCCTTTGATTGGAGTTCCCTTGAATATGAACTAACAAGGCAGGTTCTTGTGGATGAGGAACCACCAAGTTATGTAACAGGGTGTAAAACTGAATGATCAGTAACATTTGTTACAGCATCCACTGTATTGTGTGAATATTGTTCTCTCGAGATGATTAAAATCTCTTCAGATACTTAAAAGATGGTCAGACTTTTTTCTTTTGTAATTCACAAACATCTAGTAACAGGTACATAGGGACCAAAACCAAGATTTAGAAAATATGTTTAATCCTTTAAAATCAGACATGAGAACATCACCACCACATAACTGAAACATGGCAGGAGGGACAGGCAGCACATATTGCATGAGAAGGCATTTCCGTGACTCCTATGTACATATACACATTTTATACACAGTAAAAATATAGTAATTGAAGCATATAGGACAACCAGCAACATTGGCTCGTAAGCCGTGTGAAACATTCATGTAGAAAAAGCATGGGAGCTTAACAACCCAGAATCATCATGGAGAGAATATAGCTATCATATCACAATCTAAACATGAAATATAAAAAGTGAAATTGTCAAATAGTCCCCCTTCATAGGCAATACACACTATAAAGTTTTCAGACATCCTTCTGTCAGTTTACAGTATACGTACAATCATCTAAGGTACATAATACAACTTTATCATTTCAGCCGACAGCAAACAATCATTAATAAATATACTTCCTAGAGCTGAAAGGTGACAGATTGTGGTTCATATTGCATTACTTCAAATGTATTGTAGTGTCTACGCTGAGTGCACCGCCTTTTAAGCACCGAAGGATGATGTTTCTCTTGTGCCATGGGTGTAGTACATCGCTGCGACACAACTGGTCTGTATCACTGTACCACCCATTAAAAAAACAAACAAACAAAAAAAAAACAAAAAAAAAAAAACAGAAGTTATACCATAAAACATCAAAATCAAGCTGTCACAAAATAAAATCTGGTTTTTTTTTTGTTTGTTTTTTTCAAATCAGATTTTCTTGGAGTGTTTTTCTTTGGTGGCTGTTTGACTCTCAACCAAATAAATACAACTTTAAACTGATCTGTTTGAAATAATCAGTATTTTACATTTCAGTATATCAAAAGTAATCAATTTCAAGTACATTTTTCCAACTACAAAAAGGTGGTAAATAATGGGTTCTAAGAGCTACCACAATTGCAGTAAATCAAACTTTAGACAGGAATGTGGAGTTACCTCTTGAAATGTCTCAGGCCAGACCAAAGTAAAATAATTGTTTGATAAAGAAAAATAAATCTTTACAGGGACTAGGTTTATGTCAGATACATCCTATCAGACATGAAATTATTTAGCAAAAAACATCCAGTTTAATAATAGATCCTTAAAACACAGGTCAACCCAGTGTTATTACCATTTACAACAGTCCATGCAGGTGTCCAGGAGTGTCTCATTTCATTTTCATATCAACTGTACTGGATCCTGAACACTCACAGGAACTCCCTTCTCTTTTCTTTGGTGCTGCGATTGGCTTATAATACAAAAGGCCCAGTCCTGAATCCTCAACTGTGCATTGATGAACATGAGTAATTGTCCTCCTTTTCTATATTCATAACTCACATTTCCCCTTCTCCCTCTCTGCTGCACAGACCACATGTGCTCAACAAACATTAACAGTAATCCATTAAATGAGATGACATCTAAGATCTTGAGTTCTGCAACACTTCAACCTGGTTGTGGTTCAAATTTCTATATCTCATGGGGGGGTAGGGCTTTCAGCCAAGCATGATCGGTGGCTTGTTTAGTGCCCTAAACAACAAGATAAACACAAAACATTTTGTGAAAACACGGCTTAATTTCTATGAACCCGCCAAGTAAAAGATTAGTAAGAGTACATACAAAAAAAAAAAAACAATTCACAAAAAATAATTTTATGTTTAGTAATATTGGTCCAAGAGTGGATGTGGGTGGGTTTCATTTCTGTAACCAGCAGAAATGAATACTAAGAGACAGATATCTGTTTCGTCTGATGTCAGTTACAAGATTTAGCTGAGCTGATGAACCAAGGTGATTGATCACATGACATGCATATAAACAAAAGGGATTGCATTAGTGTTTGTATTAAAATCTGAAATTCTTTTAAACCCTGACAACTGATTGGTTGGTCCAGACATACAAATGGCAGTTTCACGACTTCAGCTGTAGTGATAAGGCAGGTTTCTGTGTGACTACAAGACTAACCTGTAAAAAAATGTCAGTTATACATCATGTTAGGGGAGAAACATGTAAAGGCACAGACATGACAGACAGTAGCTTGAATGTTACTGTTCTATTAACTTCATACCATGACTTCACTTAACAGCATCTACCGGGCCAGCAATGCTGCCGACAGCTCTTCTCTCTGAATTCATTTATATTTCAGCACATATGGTCACATCAGAGGGGGAGATTTTTAGGGTTATATAAAATGTGGTCCGCCATGTTAATAAGACACATTCTATATAAGAAGAACATTGTAATGTACATTCAGCAGTGGCAAGATCTAGTTGGACCTTTGCAGCACCACCGTGGTTTCCAGCAGAATAACTTATTACCAAACATGGAACAAAATTACCGTAGAGGTCTGGTTCAACCCATTCCTTCAGTGTTTCCAAATCTGACTTCAAACAAATACTGCACATCCACAATCAGTAAAAAGAAATGCATACGTGATTGCAGAGTCGACAGCAGCGAGTGTTGATTTTGAACAATGACCACTGATAGCTCAGAGTTCCCCCTGCTCATGAGGCGTACTGAGGGGAAATGGATGTGCGGGAACAGGAACACTAGTGCGTGAGTCACAGAAATGTGAACCCACTTAGACTGTGCATGAGCACACAGGAAAGCATTCACTCCTACAATTGCAGGCCATGCCCTCCATGTGCTCTTAAGTGTGTGTGTGTGTGTGTTCCTGCTGAAATGCTGTCTGTGCCCACTCACATCTCTTCATGCTGTGAAAAGTGGGCACAAGGACTGACTCTTCATGGAGAATTTGACTGCCTTCACTATCCACTGGTGACTTTTTATAATATACAACAAATTATTTTGGTTATTATGACGTTGCAGCAGACAGACGAGTTGTGAAAATTAAGGAAAATCCTTTTTTGATCAATTTAATGCTGCCGCGGTTAGTAAAGAGTTTTCAATTCAGGGTCGTGCACCTTTTTTTCCAGGTGTTCATGAAAGATGTCAAGGCTTTGGGAAAAGGTGTGGACAAAATGTGCATGCACAGTGACTTTGTTGGTGGCTGGGAAGGTCTGAGGCCTACCGCACACTGTCTTCTTGATCTTCCCATCATTGTTTTCCTCACTGTCACCACCTCCATTGCACCTCGTTGCTTCATCCAGCGATCCCTGTATATACTATGTGTATGGGTGAGAAAACAACATAGGTGCAACGGGGGGTCCGCGGTGGAGACTTTCACTCTCTTCATCCTTACTTCCACCCACCTCATGTTGTCCAGAAGCGCCTCAACCATAGATGGCACTAAGTCTGTTTTTTACTGTGAAGATAAAAGAAATTCAAGGATCATGAAAGGCGCAGGACATGTACAACTACTACTGGCAACTTCTAAAATAAAACCACAAATAATATTCAATCAGAGATGTATAATTTCATCGTTTAGACTTACAAAACAGATGTTGGTCTCGGGGACGATGTCTGATAGTGAAACTACATCTTCGTTTCCAGAGAGGTTGCCAGAATTGTCTTCAGCCACTTCTGCCCCAAAACTGGGACAGAGAAAAAGACAAATAATGAGACACAATGACTAACAAAATTGAGAAAAATACATTCAATATTGACTGCCACCGTCTTGTGTACCTGTGGGAAACACCCTGGTCATGATCCATGTTTGCTGATTTGTGCACTTCCACTCCTACAGAACTGCAGAGAAAAGTCAGAGCAAAGAAAATTAAAACAATGTGAAAGTGAGATGGAAGAATAAAGGTGTTTAGATTATTGTCTTTACCGCAGGGGAGGAGAGGTGGAGGCAACTCCTGTGCTGCCTAGTGATGAGGTGGACAGGTTGGCCTCACAGTCAGCAGGGTTGTCCACCAGTGGAGGGGTCCTCGGAACAAGATCGGGTCTGCCTGACTGCACGCCTGAGAACAGCATTACTGCAAATTTCAACACCAGTATCTCTACTTTGAGCACAGCTATGAGTGAAATTGTGGTGTGGATACAAATAAACATTGCGTGTGATGCCCCGCCTCTTACCACTGTCAGCCTCTGACTCTGTGCTTTTAAAGTGGCTGTGGTACACCAGTCTGGAGTCGATAGACTGTCCTGTTGCGTGGGAGAGCGGGGTTGGAGCTCCCAGGGTGGGGGCCCTTCGAAGCCCTCCCGGACCTCCACCACGACTCTTCTTAGATGGTGATGGTTTTACTAAAGACAGGGCACATTAAAGTAGAAATGATCAATATAGGCACCAGAACTTTTCAATTCTGTATTTTCTAAGCTGTCAATGCATCAAGATCTTAACAGCAGTGGGAACGCATATGCTTACTTACATGGAATTTTCTTAAACACTGTGCTGCACATGAATTGCTGGAAACGCTCTGCATAGAAGCCAGGTCTGTGAACTGAAACTGTGTCCTAAAGTGGTAAAATAGCAACAGAGCCATTAGAACCTGACAGACACTAACATATCAAAGTTAATACACTCTATTCTTAGCCATTCTGCTCAGTAACTTTTCCTTTTTCTATCACAAAACATTTAGTGTGAAGGCTCTTACCCCATCATGGACCAAGGCCTTCCAGGAGTGCTCCAACTTCTTAATAAACCTAAATAGGAAGACAAAAGAAAACTATTTACTGCAAGTTATCTAAATGGGTAATGTAGGTGGGAAACTGGTTCATGAATTATGAACAAATGTTCATGCAAGAAACTGATTTGGCTGCTCTGAAACACCGACCTGTAGGACTGGAGAATGTCGATGATGCCGATGTAGATCAGCAACCTCTCTCCTTTAGTATTACGACCTGGAATGCCACCCATGCTGGAAGGACAATGCCAGAGGCAACAAAAGACCATTTAATTGTCATGTTCCAGTCACAGATTACACCACAAACAAACACTTCAGTTCAAATTCAGCTTCGCTTGTCGTCAGGTGGGTAATAAGACTCACTGGTCTTCTGAATCTAAAGCTCCCTTCCCTCGGGCCTCCCCCTGGATGGACTCCATGGCTGTACAGTACAGACTTTTCTGGGCTTGTGGCCGGCGCTGATCTGGAGTCACGGCTCCCTCTGATCCACCACTGTCCCCCGAATTGCCTCCAGCACGCTCCCGCTCTCGACTAGCCTGGTCCATGTTGTGGATGCCCATCAGCAGACTGTAATCCATGATCTTGAAACTCTGTAAGAGCTACATAAAACATACACATATAATAAATCAGTTAACACGATCATCGGCAGGAGCACTACCACATATCTTGACATTCACGGGCATGACACACAGAATCAGACAACATATTTTTGCCAGATTTTGCTTTGAAGGTACAGCTGTAGAAAAACTGTGGCAAACCTTTACACTCAAAATATTATTTGCATTATTTTGTATGACGCTAGATGCCACTTCAATTATGAGCAATCTTTGTATTTTGACTATAAGGGCCATTACTTATAAATATTTTCTTATATCTGTTGAGGGGGACAGTAAAACTGAACTAAAAATAGATTCATCTATTCAAAGAAAGAAAAGAAAAGCAAGAGTGATGACAGAGCACTAACAAAGACCTCTAATGGAAAGAGATATTCTGCTCAATAAATCGCATGCAGCCTCCGTCCTTTAAATTGTTTGGCTTTCCCAAGACCAATGAACCAAAATTACACAGAACATATTGACATCTCGTGCTAACTACAATGATAAATGCCCCCAGTCTAATCCCATCATTTCAAAAGGGAATCATCCCTCAAAGTAAACAAAGTATTAGTTTTCAGTGTCATGTGAGCATGAGTCATTTTATTCAACACTAGACTCCTGATGACGACACCAGCAGTGGTGGAGCTCATCTTTAAGCAACAAACAACACTGAACCGCCTGAGGAAAAACCGAATATTACAGACACCCCTGTGAAAAAACAACAAGTTTGACAGCAGAAAAATTGTGTCTGTTTTCATATTTCTGCACATTTATTCCACAAGATGATAGTGAAAGACTTGATGTTAGATTCTGTGTATCTATTTGGCAGAAAATATTTCTATCTAGTGATGATATAACAATAGTGTATTCTGCTTGTGCACTGTCTATATAATATCAATGCATACAAATGTGTCCTGTAATTCCACGTGAGCCCAGAGGCTTGAGTGCGTGAAACATCCAATCAGTCAATGAAAAACAAGCGTCTCTGTGACTCACCAAGCAGTCCCTCTGTATTGTCTTGCACAGAGCATTGAAGTTGTCCGCTTCCAGCAGCAGGCCGTCGGGCAAGTCCTGGATAAAGTCCAGGTCTTTGTAAGTGGGAACAGCCTTTTCTCTCTCCTTAGGGGAGGCTCGTCTCTTATAGGTGGAGCCCTTCAGGTCGTATTTGAGGTGCATGGGGATGATCCGAGGCAGAAGATTGTTCATCACTACAATACGGATATTCTTACCCCCTGCCTGAACACAATACAGGCCGTAGAACTTGGGCAGCAGAGTGCGCTTGTTTTGGTTTATATTCTAGAAGGGAGGAGGAATATAGAAAATAAAGATTAGATATTTTACACACTTAAAATTAGAAAGAAATTACTGCTCCCACTCATTTAAACCTCCTACTCTCATGATAAGTATAGTTATAATAATCACTCATACTGAACACACTCTATCCAGGCTCACCATGAAGTATCCAGGTAGGAGTTTCTGGAGGAACTCAGCCTCCTTGTGTTGAACAGTCTTGATGATAAACTCGTCATCACTGGAGACGTAGAAGAGAGATCCGCTGGCTCCGGGATTAGACAGCTCGATCAGTGGCTCGTTACACAGAGAATACTTCAAGAGCAAGAGGAGTCTGCATTAGTATCCAGTCAAAACAGAGCAAACATGTTGGCAAATCCAGAACTCTAATTTCATTAAACCAGTTGTTCCTGATAATAGTGGTAACCTGAGGGTGGAAAACACCCAGGTGGTTGTCAGGAGGTTGCCAGGGGGACAAAAGGGAGGTGCTAAAAAAAATTTATTCAAAATAAAAACCCTAATTAAATAATATATACATGCATAGTATCCACTTCATAGAAAAACATGCATGACTTCTGACTGCACAGTCACTTTACTGAAGTAGCTTGATTACAGAGACATGGGGCCCATTTCAAATTGTAGGAGCGTGTGAATGAGAAGGACTTTCATGCTTTGTCCATTAAACGAGTGGCTCTTTTCATCCTCAAAAGGGAAGAACTACAGATGAACACTGAACTAAACCAGTCTCCAATATGAATATGAGGACAGTGACAAAAGCCAAAACAAGAACACTTTTTCTAAATATGGCAGTGTGTGTTTAGTGCAATAACTGACCAGATAGTCATCTGGTCGAATGCCAAACAGTTCCCTGAAGTAACGAAAGGCAATGGGAGCGTAGGTCTTAAAGCGAAAGTCACTGTAGTGATGAGCAGGTGTCAGGTTACTGCCTTCACTGAAAACACATGAGAGACAGAGCAAGAGACAGAAAGGCCATTAAACTGTGAAATGAAATGTGAAACAAAAATTAAAAAAAAAAAAAAATTGCTATGTTTACTCAACTACGACTTATGCTACCAACCCTGGAAAGAAGATGCTTTCGACCACCACAAAGTCCTGCATGAGAACATCCCTCTCCGCCTTTTGGCTTAAGCTGCCAACCGTATGAGCGATGCCCAATTGGATTGCACCTTTTAGGGCAGATGACGTGGTCTGGAGAGGTCAGAGGGGAATAGAGAGGGTAAGTATCGGAACCAACACCATTTTACCCCATGTGACTTCTGCTGTTTCACTCACTATTTTTAGGTGCCCAGTGATAGGAATTCCCAAACTAATTTTAGAACATAAACACCAAACATGTGCGTGTACACACTGGTCTTTTTCCACTTTTCATATCTGCTGCTCAGTGCTGTGGGTGTCAACAAACCAGTGTCACCGACCCCTATGCTGCTCTAACCTTTTTATAGGTGGTCTCTCCTGTGGTGGTCTCAACGCCCCGGTGTCCAATAGTCTTCTTCATACTCTGAGTTGTGCCTGAAGAGCCAGGTATCTGAGAAGAGGGACAGAGAGTGTGTGTGTTTATGCCGGTGAACACAAGACAAAGAGCTAGCTGTAAGTAAGCTTTAAACCACATTGGGTAAACATCTTCTCATGAAAACCTTATGCCATCAACTAGGGTTTAACAATACTCAAAAAAAAAAAAAAATTACATTGCAATCATTTTTGAGAGATGCTGATGTGATTTTTTCTGGAATCTTAACCGAATAAACATGCTCCCTTCGGTCTGAAGAATATAATTTGTAGGCCGAGGCATCTCTGTAACACCACAATGCTTCACTTGTAATGGTATGTTGTGACACATGATGGCTGCATGAATGCAGGCTTGAACTCTTTAAACCTGTTGTGCTTCCCTGCACAGAGTTGACTGGATCAACATTTACATTACTTGGGGCTATACATAATGCAGAGATGTTTTGTCAATTCAGTGAGGAAATTTCTGACATCCTTACCTCTGAAGGGGCCATTTTTCGGATGCTGCTGGTCCCTGAAGACAGAAAAACAAATTAAATTGTGATTTTACAATGTGAGCGACAATGACTCTTAAGAAGCTACAAAAGAAAGTACTAAAGACTTCCCTTGTTCAGACTCGACTTCATGAAACCCATGTACATGTCAACCGAAGCACTCAGTGCAAACTTGATGCTTGTTGTCATTTTCAAGACTTTGACTTGCAGCTTTTAACATGGAAGAATCTGTTAATGACTATTTGAGAAACTCTCTGCTGGTTAATTAGCCAGGATATTTCCAGCACTGGCTGATGACTATACAGCCAATGATGAGCCCAGACCTAAATGTGGCCACAGTTACTAACTCTGCCCCTGATACCACCAGCTCTCTGTGAACTGGAACTACTTCTCCCCTGAGCTGGCTGCTCCAGATTCATCCAGTCCCCGAGGATATGAGTCTACAATCACCGCCTCCTTTCACAAAAAAAAAGAAAAAAAAGTACAATTTCTAGTTTTTTTGTGTCACAGCCTAGTTTGTGTCTCACACTAACTTAGTTTATCATATATTAAATCAATACATTTGGTAAACTCAGCTGATGAGCATAGGAGTAGTATATTGTAGGCAGACACAAATTCTGGATGTGTGTAAAATTTACTGACTTAATAACCAAAAATAAGAAGTAAAATATAATATATGACACAGACTCATGGTCTTTGCTCCTCACAAACAGCACACAGTAGTTTCGTAGGAAAAGCACACAACTGAAATAAAAGAAATACTCCACATGATTTCCTCTGTCCTTACATAAACTTGCTGTTTAAACCTACTATCTCGCCCACTCTGCAAGCACCTCTAGCCTGTAACCAATGGCAACATCTACTTCAATGCTGCAGTGCCACAGGTCAACATACACACAAAAAGATGTTACGAAGATTATACACCTGTAGTAACAATGTGTGTAAAATCTGTGCCCAGCAGACTCAATCCAGGCGAAGCACAGTAAGTGGACATCTCAACCCAAGAGAGAGGGGAGTGTTAATAATATGGGAGAATCACTGAAATGCCATGCATCTCTTCTGAGTTAACAGGGACACACAGCAAACAACCAGGAAACAGTGAACATCATTCTTCCCACATTCCCTCTCATTATGTAAAACAACACACTATATCATCACTACTCATGCAGTTTCTGCTCACACACACAGAAAAAACTCACGCACACACCCATGCGAGTACCTCGCTGCAATGCTCTCCTCCAGAACTGAGTCCTAATATCTGTGGAGCAGGACATGGTCAGCCTAAATGGCTTAACCTAGTAAACGAGTAACACTGAACAAATTTAAAGCATCACTGTTTGTAGGTAAGAGAAAATGTGTCTTATCTAGTGCTGAAATTATTAATTGATTAAGCAATTAAAAAAGAAAATTAATCAGCAACTATTTTGATAACTGAGGAATAATTTCATTCATTTTCCCAGGTTCTGGCTTCATAAATTTGAAGATGAAATTTGATTAAATTAAATTTGCTGCTTTTGTCTATTATCACACATGATATTAAACTGTGTCTTTGGCTTTTGGGCTGAAAGTCGAATAAAACAAGTAGTTTTTGGACGATGCCTTGGCCGCCATTTTCATCTATAATAATTGGCAGATTCACCAATAATGAAAATCATTTCTAGTTGCAGTCCTAGTTTCATCACATTACAATTTTCAATGTAGAACCAGACACTAACATACAGTGTTCAGCAGATTCGTGGTTAGAATTAGACTAACCTAATTACTTAACAATGACTTTAGCTTGTTAGTGACAGGCCTTACTACAATAGGCAAACCATCTGTTCCCCCCTGTATACCAAACAACTCCCTGCCAGCCTTGTTCACATGTAGCCTGCAGCTCGCATGAGGAAATAATATGGGACATGCAGAGTCTCTTAAAATCATTTTCTGCCTGTGAAGAGTCCATAAATATACTGGTTCTTGGCCCGATTAGGAAACAAGGCCGATAAGGACTAATACGGGAAACAACATTATGTTACTGTCACTCAAGTGTGTGTGAGTGTGCGTGTGTTTGACAGAATGCTGTATCTTGTATTTGTACAGCCTCAGGCTGTCAGCCAATTGGAGGCCACAAGAGTGCTTTGAAGCCACTATTTTTATTCACTGATTCAGACTGGGTGGCTACGAGGGAAGAGCAACTCCTCTACACACAGGGGAGCTAATAACTGATGCACAACTAAATGGATACCAAGATGAAACATCTCCATCCTCTGTCCTGTCCTCAGAAAATAAAATACCAATGAAAGCACTTGAACTGCCCACCACTCGTCTGTATCTGTGTGGCCTCTGAAAGCAGAGAGAGTCCAGTTCATGAGCAATTCACCATGCATAGATCTGAAATCAGAGATCCTAGACAAACCTTTCATCAACTGAACATGAACAGCAGAGTGAAAGAAGTCTGGTCATCAACTAGATAAGCATGAAAGGCCTGTGTCATTGGTTTAAATAATGTAGGAGATCAATAAGCTCAACGTTTGTTTTTGATAATACATCACCTCAACTGTGAAACTTTGGAAAATAACTGATAAGAGGGTATGTGTTGAAGATACCAAATGGAAACTGCAAGTTAACTTTACCGCAAACCTGGACAGACAGACAGACAGACAGGCAGACTGAGGAGGAGGAGGAAGAGGAGGAGGAGGAGGAGGGGTGTATGGGCGAGGAAAGCGAGGGGATAACGGTGTAGCTACCGTTAACTTCTCCCTGGTGGATAGACCCGTTAGAAACAGCAGCCACAGAACACGTCCCGTTCATTTATTCAACAATAGAGCGATATTTTCTACACCTCGTGCTTTTACCTCCTGCGTCCAGTTAACTTGTTAGCAGAGAAAAAAACACCGATAACGATATAACCGGCTTGATAACAAAACACACTCTATAGCCAACGCGGACCCGGGTAATATTTCGTATTATTAACTTCAACAGATAACTCGATATCAGTGCTGGTGGACCGCTAACTAAAGCTCTAATTGATAACAACAACTACTACTACTAAGGTTGATCAACAAGGCAGCTAAACAAGCTAGCCACTGCTTGGTTCATTTGTTGGGTTGAAAGCCTCGATGCTAGCTAGCTAACAGGCTATTCAGGACATGATAAAGACAAAGTCAACGTATCACACCATTTTCATCACTACGAAATGTTACACAGATATGTTTGCTTGTTCGTTAGAAGACAAAAACTGAGGAAGATTTAGCCTCTAGATACCTGTCGGGGCTGTTGATCCCGAGTCTGCTGTCCCAGCAGTCGCCATTATGGTTTGACTGTTCACATCACAGACAGCGCCGATAGTTGAATTCTGATGCTCATGTCGCAGCAGCACCACAGCGCCCCCGCCGGACTGAAGGGGAACAGTTTCAGTTTCAGTTTTACTGTGATACTAAAATAAATTATTTGAAGTTTGAAAATATAAAACTGAAGATAGGTCATCATTTCTTATGTCCAGTGGCTTTGAATATATTTCTTACATGGTGATATTTTAACTTTATTAGGATTAATGGCAGAAAAAAATCGAATCAAATTAAATAACTTTGTTTGATAGTTTTTTTTTTGTTTTTTTTTTAAGGGACAATGTTCCTTGATCAAAAGAAAGCTAATTTTCATCTTGTGTCCCTGGTCAAATGTTAAAAGGAAGCCTAAAAATCTACTACGAAAATCAGGTTATGTTGTTAAGTAAACATTAGTATTGAAACAAACAGTACAAATCACAATTAAAAATTTAAATATAACAGAACACAGAGAAAATTGCGGTTTAATATACATATATTGAAGTCTTCATACAAATTTATCCATGTAATATTCTGAGCTCTGTTAAACTGTTAAAATGTATGTATTTCAAATACCTTTTCATTCCACATATTGTTTACTTATTTGTGACTATCACATTTACATTGGCTTGAGTTTAAAATGGTACCTCACTGTAACAGCCACACAGACAAGGTCTACACTGTTAAACTAATAGCATGAAAAGAATACAGTAAACCACACAAAAGTTACAATTATTTTTAATAGAACTGTTGCAGATATGATCTTAACCACAAAACCATATAAAAAGAAGAGAGCTGATCTTGCAGCTCCAAAGGAATCAAGAAAATGCATGTGATTCGTTATCAAATGTGTATAAAGCAGCTACAAAAATAGTGGTACAGTGACACTAACAGTGTTTTATAAATTGTGCATTTCACAATAAATTTGTTTAATCATAAATGTATTCTTGTGATAGCAATGCTTCTCATGTGATCTCAAACAAAAATATGCAGTACACACTTTGTATATTCTTTTCGTCTTACAAACCTCTAAGTGGGATTTGTGCTGCAATAATTTTTCCTGTTGCGTGACTGGAAGCAGCCTCTGCTGCTAGTTTGCCATTTCCCTGAATGGCCCAATGCCAGTAGGGTCAGCAGCAAAACGTTATAAGGGTTCAGGAGATGGGGCACCTTTTCTTCTTCTTCTTCTGACGTAAGAGATTGGTCGCTTTGGTGACGGCATCCATGAGAATTTTGGAGATACACCGTGGAGTCTCTTGTGAAGACAGGCGGCAACAGCGGCGGACAGTTGGAGGGATAACCTTCCCTGATGAACACAGGGTCCTGGACATCTCGTCGATCTGATTTCATGGATATAACAAGCCCAGGCAAAGAGAGAGAAATAGCATCAGAAAATCTGAATTTTGTGTTAATTGCTCTTCAACTTTCCCACCCCAAACTTTGTCCTCTGATATGTTGTACTAGACTTTGTGCTGACTCACTTTCCTTTTTGAACTCACCTTTTGCACAGAACAAACAGTCTTGTCTGGTTCAGACAGGGGGCAGCATTGGTCAACAAAGCTTTTGAGTGGAAAACCAATAGGGAACCTGAAAGGCAATCACATCGTTACTAAGTGCACATACAGTATGTTTAGATTCATGACAAGAATGATAACACAGAATACTAAAGAAAAAGAGGTTGGAGAGTTCAGCACATCAGGTAGCTTGATATTCATGTATTCCTTGTGACAGATGAAATGACAAAAGCATCAGGAACAGAAGAACAGAAACTGTAGGAAGGAGAGAATGAAGGAGACAGAAAATCAGATACAAGGACAAATGTAGAGGATAGTGCCTTACCTCTTCTTGATGATCTTGTGAGTGTCACAGATTTTGTTAAGCGACAGCTCTTCGGTGGCAGAAGTCATATTATAGTGAGGGTCGGGAGAAATGTTTTGGAAACAGTCGTATCGATCATTTTCCCCAACACTCGAACAACAGTGGAAATCCACCTGTCCAGCCTTCACCGAGCAAAACCTGTTCAGCTCTTCACTCCACTAAAATAAAAAATGAGAGTGGACGTGAGCAGGTATAAAAATAACTCAATTAAAGCTAAATGTAAACATAAAGAGCTAAAAAAGATACATTTATGTTGCAAGTTCGTTGTGTTACCTTCCGATTAGCACAGTTGAGCACATCCTTCTTCTTTTTGCAGCACTGTTTGAATCCCTTCTCCATACGATTAGTGGTCTTTGCCTGATGAGCCAGCAATTCATAGCCTAAACCTGGCAGGCACTTGACACTGTAGAGGGGGCGTTGGTTCTGGTTGTGACACAGTGATTCAATGGTGTCTGCGGTGGGTCGTCCAAGAGGAAAGTTGATGTCAATTTTCTGGGAGGTAGATGGTTTCTTCTCCTTCTTTCGCCTGTTTGACCGGACACTGTATGGAGTCATCACTGTCCTGTAAAGTATGAGGCATACAGAAAGGTCAGTGCCAAACATGACTTCCCTCAGCCTCTTTGATGACTTTAAAACAAAGGAAGTGTGCTCTGCAATATTTAGTCCCTCAATCCTTTTTTATTGACTTTTGTTTGTCTTAAAGGATGAGACTGGTGATGCTCTAATTTTTCCCTATTGTCATCAAATACCATGAAAAGACCAGCACCAACAATGCTTCAGGGCACTTTCAGACCAATCCTCTGTGAAAAAAAAACACTCCATTGACACAGTGGGGGTTTCAATGCAGTAGGTTCTCGCAAAAAAAAAAAAAAAAAAATGCAGGGTCATCCACAAAAAAAAAAGCTGAGCTAAGGCAAACTTTTGCGCCTTGCTGGGTAACACTCTAGTGATTTATATAATATTATGAACTGCTGTTAAGTGTTTTGGTATTTGATACCCCTTCAAGCTCATGGGTGTATTATTCAGACTGGACTTCTGGGGTTGTTTTCCACTTTCTCACCGTTAGCTGAGGCAACATGCCCCATCAACACAGTCTCTAACGTATTTGTAACACAGAGGTGTTTTGGGTCTGATTGAACATTTAGTCTGTCTCTTTGGCATTAAGTCCCGGTCCCATCTGAAATAAATGCAAAAATGGCTCACAAATATACAGTATGATTTAAAAGGAAAATGCACATTATATTTACATTTACTCATTTGGCAGACACTTTTATCCAAAGTGACTTACAAGGGAGGGACAACACTAAACCTCGGTGTAAATACTAAGTACTACATCTATTCAATAAGTGCAGAAGATCAAGCAAAGAAGTGCCAAGAAAGTGCATAGTAAGTGCTAGTCAGGCATGTTGGGGTGTTAGAGGTGTTAGGAGAGGAAGTGCTCTTGGAAGAGATGAGTCTTCAAGAGATGCCATGCAGAATGCAGAATGCAGAATTAACTCAAAATAAAGTGTTGATGATGATGCGGCTCACTGATGTGTTTAATAGTTTTTGGACAAAAATGGAGATCAGTGACACAGAAGAATAAACTGTAAGCTGTATAAGGCTTTGGCTACACAAGCAGTGTATGTGTTAGTAGTGTGGAAGCAATTCATTGTTGGTTTTGGTCTTTTTATGAGATTCTTTGAAAAATAAAAAATCATAGATTATCACAAGCCTTATTCTTTAAGACAAGGCTGGCAGCACATTTAAAGCTGCCACAGCATTATTATTCTTTAATTTCACTGATTTAAAATATCATAGTAACTTAGCAATGCAACTTTAATAAGATTGTCAACATCAGTGCTCATCTTATTTATCTCCTTGCATACCTCTGGCAAAAGTGGGGGTCAAATACGAATTCGGCAGTAGAAGGGAGCGGGGGCAACGGGATCTCCTCTGTTGGTTCGTAGTTTGGGTTTGGAGCGTCGCTGTTGAAGCAGTTCAGCATGTCGCTGCCTGTTAGTCTGCAGCAGTGATACAGACGATCCTTCACTGATGAGTCTTCCTCACAGAAGGATTTGACCGACAGCTCCCACTGTAATAGACATCGCAAAACAAAGACGTTAAGGGCGTATGAATTAATCCTTTAATGCTTACATAAAGTCTGCATGCCTGAGGCTGTAGGCTGAGTGAAAGAATGGACCACCTGCAATTACCTTGAGTATAGAGACATAGTTAACCAAAAATGAAAAACAAACAACCAAAAAAAAAAAAAAAAAAACAAGCAAGAGGAAAGTGTTAAGATTAAGGTAATACTTAATGAGAGGTTTGCTGCTTGCTTTCAGACAGCCTCACTGGTGCTCATGCCAAGGCCTGTCTGTTATGTCTGCCAGGGCTGCATATAATAGTCTTATCGGCTGGAAGCGCTAAAGGCCTTCAGCTTTCTTTAAAAAATGTAAGCACCATCATTTCTGCAATGTGAAGAATTTCTCATGCCGTTTTTACATACAGGTTCAGGAATTAGAGTTAATAAGAATACAAAGTTACAACAGTTGGCAATAATATGACACCTATCAACAGCCTTCTTCTACAGGAGGGATTTAGTGGACTGCATGAAATGTATCTTGGTTTTTAATACACACTGCATTGTATCATATATTGTGTTTTTCATCATTGCTTGTTGAGTATGAGGAAACTAGTGAGAAGATGCGACTGTAAAACGCTTAAAGTAAAAATATTAACAACAAAGTGGAATAAACTAAGAGAAACAGAATAAGAGCAAGAAGATCAAAGACACCACATTGTCATTTTACATTTACACAGAGCACGAAATTGCTGAATCGGCTAAAGGAGTTGTTGTGAAAGCTTACCGCCTGTGTGGCGCAACACAGCGTCACATCTGTCTCACTTGTCTGGTTCCTTTCGCAGCATCTGCTAAACCAGGACTCTGCGTTATTGACAGCGCTGGCCCTTCGCCTCTGCTGACCAAAGCCAGAGGCAGGAAAGTAAGAGTTTGGGTAGCTCGGACGACGGCCTCCATAAAGGCAGATGGCTTGGAGGTTGTCAGCGGTCGGACGGCCAGGAGGAAATTGAACGGGGTAGTCCAGCATGAGAGGACCACCAAAAGAACGGGGCCCAAACCTTGGGGGATCTGAGAGAAAAGGACAGGAATCATACTGTTAATTGATACTTTTACAGTAGTAGCTGGTACAAAGTAAATGAAAACTCAAAAGAACGAGGGGAAAATAAACACATACACCCCCTTGGTGTCAAGACGCCTGGTCTGGAGCCCCCTGATGGAATAAAGGCAGTATAATTTAACAGCATTTTTGAAGTGTTTTCTTTATATAATTGAGGCTTTATTGGACACGGTTTGGTAGAGTAAGACAGGACAGGGATAGATTAAGTAAGAGAAAATGACAGATAGATAGATAGATAGATAGATAGATAGATAGATAGATAGATAGATAGATAGAAGCTTACCTCTCTCACTCAGGATATCAAACTGTTCTGGTGGAGACACTATCACCTGCTCTATGGGGAACTCTATAAAAATAAAGAAAGGACACCAATGGTTGTATTACAAGGAAACGAGGCTGATAAGCCAGAGGAGACATTACAAACATTTCAAGGAAACAGGCAGCTATGTTGCTTTGCGTCAAAACAAGGTCATAACAGTCGATACGAAGACAAACAGTACCCTTGGGATCGAAGAGCTCTGTCCAGTCCACCTCTCTCTGATACATGAATGAATCGGGTTCTTCCATCTCTGAAAGACACATTGATTTTTAAAACAGTTCTTTACAGAGGTAATACGCTACTGTCTGCATATTGACTACTAAGGCAACAGACTGACAGAAACAGGCAGGTGACAAATCCAAGGAAAAATGTGAAACCGTAAAAAAGAGTGGAAAAACAGGATGACAACGCCCCCATCCATAGGGCACGAAGGGTCACTGAACAGTTTGAGTACGTAAATAACATGAAACATATGCTATGGCCTTCACAGTCACCAGATCACAACCCAATTGAACACCTATGAGAGGATTTGGACCAATGTGTTAGACAGTGCTCTCTACCACCATCATCAAAACACCAAAAGGGAGAATATCTTTTAGAGTAATGGTCTTCATTCCTCCAGTAGAGTTCAGAGTCTTGTAGAAACAATGACAGAGTCTGACAGCACATGGTGGTCCAACACTTTGTTGGTTTTTCCTTTAATTTGTCACTCATCTTTATGTTTATATTGTATTTCTGAAATGAACCTGACCTACATTAAGTATAGTCATGACTTAGGTTAGCCCAAGCAGTCTGTGCATAACCCTGAAGAAATCTTTACCGAACCTCAAACTTCAAGGGGGACTCCAATGATCCCTTTAAAACCACAGAAGACATTATACAACTGTTTTCAAAGGTTTAGTTTTTCTCCTTGGGACAAGCAAATTGAACTTCATCCTCTCTACTTTTGAAGTAGTGAGAGCTGTGCAAATGCCAGTCTGAACAACTGAGATTCTAACTGCTCTTTGCAGAGATACTGCACTAGCATGTGAATACACACACCTTTTTTGTTAAGGTCAAAAGTAACCTCACGCTGCTCAAAGATGCGCTCATCTGGAAAATTGTACACACACAAAGAGAGACACAGAAAGCCAGACAGTTATGTAAACACACTACACAATAAAAAGAGAAACAACCAGTGATGGAAGAAGAATTCATATTGTTTACATAAGTAATAATCAAAATACTCCAGGCTCCTGTCAGTGTTTCATTATCAAATATTACACATAATATCTGATTTTAATCTTGCAGCTGTTTAAGTTTCAGCTATTTTTCTATTATTTTGCATATTTGTTAGTGTGATCTATAAAATGCAATATTTTGTTACCTCAAAATCTTTATCTGCAAAGTAGTTGTAGCCTAGATATGAAGTAGATGTGGCAATAAAAATTGTGCTCTTAAGTGTAATGAAGCAGAAGTGCTAGTATTCAAGTAAAGTACAAGTACGTAGTAATTGTACGTAGTTACTTTCCAGCACTGCAGACATCTGAACAGACACGTATCTAAAAGTGCCTCAGAGTCTGTTTGCTACAGGACTAATGGTGTGTTTACATGCGAGATAAACGCACTTACAGCAGTTCAGACAAACAAAAATGGAGCCCGGCCTGATGTGCCAGAGGCAAACACAACAAATTCAAGCATGATATCAACAACAAAAGGAGAAAAAGGACAGTACTAACCCGTGGATGCTGAGCTCAGTAAAACCAAGACCAACATGGTGGAGCTGACTAAAGCCCAAGACGAGCCCATTGCAAACTTGTTCGTATCTGTCCTGCAGTGTTCGTGCTGCTGACTGTGTGTCTGTTGCTCCTTGCACACAGAGCAGAGCGGAGGCCGCCCAGGAAAACACGCTCAGCGGGGCAGCGCACGGACGGGCCCGTCAATTGGTCCAACAGAGGTTGAGGTGCTGTCCGTCTGTGAGAGCGAGAGCCCACAACAAGAGCAGAGTCATTTATGGTTGTCGTGGGGCTTCAGGAAGGATGAGGCGGAGAGAGAAAAGAGGGAGGGAAGGAAGTTTTTTTAACATGACTCATATGTGAACCGTTTAAATCCCGGTCTCTTCAAGCGGAAATTATGAGCTCTTCTTCTGTAAAAGGTCGGCGAGCCTGAACGCATGTATAAACATGATTCTTATTTGTGTTGTTGTTTTTTTTTCAGTCAGGCCGGACTAACTCGTCACTCACTTTCCCACCGTTAAGCCGAGCTGCTAATTATCACCTGTTGGCTGAGCTGAGCCAATCAGCTGTTCTGTGCTGCAAAATTATCATTGGACCACTTACAGGCTACTTTAGCGATTTGTCACATTGTGATTAAAAGTTAATCATTGTCATTATTTTATATAGCAAAATGTTTCTTATAAAGTTGTCTTCTACCAACAGTAAGTATTCAGTATATTGCATTTATTTTTGAGCATTTTTTTTGTTTTTGTTTTTACTCAGCCTATTTATTTATTTATTTATCTAGGCCTAGTTTTAAATCTGAAAACAGCAAAGCAATCTAATCCCAATATCAACAGAGCAATTTCCCTTTGATAAAATGTATGACATTTTATTTTGCCTATTAATCATGGTTGTAGGGAACTTTGTGTACATTTTTTTCATCAGCATCAAACCAAATCAGAAGTCTTCCCTTTAACATGAATCAGATATTTACTTGACAGGGTCCTACATTTCCGACAATGCAACTAAATTGCAAATTATCTTAAACACGTCTTGCCCAATTTATTCCAAACTGTGTTTGTAGCACCGGTTTTTCGCTAAAAAGATTTGTAGCCTCCAATCCAGACCAGGTTTTTTTCATATCAATATCAAGATAATGCTGTGATTTTTTACCTCAATATTAATTTTGTCCATTGTCCATTCCCAACATGTTTATGATTGATTGTTTGTTCACATGACATTAATATCAGATTTCAGTCGGAGAAACTGACTGTGACCCCTACACAACCCCTCCCACCATGTTCTCATAAAAAGAAAAAAGAAAAAAAAAGAAAAAAAAGAAAAAAAAGAAAAAGCCAAATCAGACCAGAGGAGTGATCCCTGCACAGCTGTAGACTGCAGCTTAAAGTTTGTTCTCTTTAGGACACAGTTTAAAGTGGAAGGATTATCCTGCTTTTGCTGTTCTGCCCACAGTTCTTTCCCATCATAATCAGAAGATATCAGGATGAAAGTTTTCAGTTGTTGCCGACGGTTGTGATGATAGTGATGAGAGATGGCAGTCCGGAAACTCTACAGAAGTGTTTGTCCCGGGTAGAAATTCCCCTTAGAGGTCAGAAAGCAAAGACAAGCAAATAATTACCCAAGTAGAACTGAAATGACTCCCTGTCATACTCATACAGGAAAAGGATCTGCAATTTGTCATGAAAGTATTGAGGCAATTGAATGCATCACTTATTTCTTATTTTAAGGCTGTAATCCTATTGAAAACTGTTTTTTTCTGGTCAAAATATGTGCATGAATGAACTGTACAGACTGCCAATGTTTCAGGAGTATTTATTTGTTTTGTACAGTCATTTAATTAAGTGGATTTTAGAAATTCTGAGCAGCAAAAGTACTGTCGTGCACGAGAAAGAAGATAAGAAACAAAAAGGAGGAGACTTAAAAGAGAGAATAGATTAAGGTGGGTACAATAGTTGCCACCAGTGCGGAAATGGCAGTTAGATAAATGGAAAGTTTTCCATTGGTTGTTCTTTGTTCAACAGAGGAGAAAGAACATTACTAGAAGAATTGTTTATCTCATGTCTTTCCAAACGCAACTGAAATATGAAAGTAAAAACTCAATGTATATGAAAGTTGTTTAGAAAGTTCTGTTTTAGCCAGAAAATCACAGAAAGAAATATAATTTTTTTTAAAAGACAGACAGCTTTGCAGCATGAAACATAAACATAAAATCTCTGTGGCTTTTTGCATGAGAAAGTCACATTTACCACATCCAACTGACTCATAGTCTTTTAATTTTCTTCCTCTTAACTTGGTTAGCAACAGTTTTTGTCTATGACAACCGAATGGCAACACAGGCTAATGAGTGTGCTCTACTGTCATCCACAATGACTAATATGTCATTTGTGTTAAATTCTGCAGTTGCAGCTCTACAATATGGTGCTGATACTGGCTGTACAGGAAGACCCTGAGGAAGGTCACAAGCCGAAATGCATCAGTCTAATAAAGTTCTTCTGTGTTGGTGGAGTTTTGGCCTCTTCAGAAAACCTCTGGGTTGTCTACGGCACTACTGAGAATGATAAGTCATGCTTATCACTTCAGTCTACTATGAATAAACGGTGGTTTTTGTTACACTAAGAAGCATTTTTTTCTAATCAAATCATCAGAAAAACAACTGAATCTTGTTCCTTGCATGTCTCGGTTTTACACGACTGTTTATATTACTGCATATTCACAAAGAGACAAATAAAGTTACAACATCTGCTTGGTGTCACAGCCTCAGCAGTTTATTAGAAGATTTACATGGATTTATCTTCATTATAATCTCAGCTGCTCCGGGAACAGACAGAACTACATCCGGACATACAGTACTTAATGCTGAAAACTCTCATCACTGCCTCTTTACTCTTTCTTTATCCAAAGATATGTAGAGAAAACAAAGCATATGCAAGTTCATCTGAAAAAAAGGAAAAAGTTTGCACACAGAGGAAGAGACTTCAACAGTATCTCCACATTTTTAATTGAATCTACATTTAATGCAACATCTTTTCAAAGCTTGAAAGATATAAAAGCCTGTAAGGATTTATTCAAACACAAAGGATAAAAGGTACTGCTGCTTTGTGGGAATTATGAGTCAAACTGTGACAACATCAACCTGAGGAGAAACACTTCTCTAGAGACATAAAGATGCAAAGAGGCAAACTGTCACTTGATTTTTGGGTGTCTTTTAGCACTGAGCATGTCATTGACACATTCAGATATAACCGACTCTGATCTCTTCCAATTTCTCACGTTTTGTAGGGAATATTTATTTTTGCCACATATTAACCTTCAAATAGCAAACATTACCGAAATAGTATAATCCAGCCATGATGCTGAAATGATGCCAGTCAATCTGTGTGACTTGATGTGGCTACAGCCTATTCTCAAGTCTCCTGAAAGTAGACTTGAGAATCACAGTTATGATTTTGGAACTTTCTCAGCTTTCCCCGTGTGTCCTGGCACCTTTCTGAGTCTGTGCCACAAGCCTCCCACATATGCATTAAAGCAATGCTGCAGCTGAAACTTCTGAGGCTTAAACACTGAGTATGAGCAGGTGGATCTGTTTTGCGTAAAACTAACGTAGGGCAATTACTGACAAGCTGTAACAGGATTGTGCACGATGAGTAAAGAAGCAGTGAAGTAATTAATCCAGATTTAGGCATGAATATAAACTTTTATGACACACCGGGCTCATGATCGAACAGTGGACATGATTGTGTAAAGCTGGTTATGTTGTGAAACTGAGGCAACATCCCTAGCTGTATTGCAAAACTACAATATGTTTCCTGGCTTATTTGGCTGAGCCAGCACATTTCTTGTTACTGTATTATTCTTCTTTGTGTGTATACCTGACATTTTATATTTTATTTTTCTATTTTGTAATGTGCAAACAAATAAACTTGAATTGGAGCCTGCAGTGACTCCAAGCTGACTACAACTGATGACATCCGCAAAGAAATAAACCAAGTGCTTCATCCTGAAAACGCTGCCACTGTCCTGCCTCTTTGAATCTCTCTGTCTGGCAGCACTGTGACACACAGTAGCTTTAGCTGGACAGAATCACATCCTGAGAGAAAATGAATCCTGTATCCCACTGACAATGCAGCATCAAAGAACAACAAAACTCCCATTTCCTCGGAATAATCAAAATAGTTTTACGCTATCAAAATATTGAAATTTATGTTTAACATAGGCTACCAACACAAAGCTCTGCTGGAAGTCATGTAATACTTAACACACTACGATTACTGTGCTTTTCTCAGTCATTTTCATTATTAGAAAAATAGATTCTGTCAGAAAGTGATAAAACAATTTTTGTCTATGTGTGTGTGTGTGTGTGCGTCTTTGCATATTCTAGTGAATCTTCAGTGAGTGGTCCCCGGCAGAAGCTCTGCCTCAGAGGCGAACAGCTCCTTGTAGAGTGGAGGGAACAGAGAGTGAGCGGTGAGAGGGTAACGCTGACTGAACCAGCGTAGCTTCTCCATGTGAAGACTGCACAGTGAACGCAACACCGCCATCCTCTGGTACAGCTGCAGGGAGGACACAGACATGTTTAGATGTCCACTTTCTGCTATGGGAAGGTAAGCATGTGCACATTCCTGTAGATGAAAGGATGAATATTCTTGGCTTTTTATCAGAAAACATGTGGTCTATACTGAGATATGTACCTTATGCATTAGATTGTCTTGGTTGTCTCGGTGTAGAATGTGTGTGAGTCCTAACTCCACGCTTCTTTGCACCCGCTGAACCCTGCTTCTATCCTCCAGAGATGGACGGTCTACACAGAAAGATAGAAACAAAAGCAAATGAGGATTTTTAACAAGGCCACACACTAGTCATGGTCCACTGTGCAATTTGTAAATCTTACTATGCCTATTAAGAGCCACTACAGGCGCCACCAAGGCTGATCACGTTGAATGATTGAAACCATCAACTAAGTGACTGAAACAATGTTGAAAAGACAACTTATTTTAGTTAATAATCATATACTAATGTAATATTACTGGACTAAAACAAATGAAGGAAAGAGTTTTTGAGCTAAATAATGGCCATGACGTAATGACCAGATTGAGCCAATAACATCATCAGTTAACTGTAGGTGCTACGTGGGAATAAATGCATAAATAAATGAATAAATGCACATCAAATATGTAAATTAGGACTCAACAATATTTTAAAAAATTATGGCCTTCCAAAAGGTCCAAAGAACACAAGATAAAAGTGTTTTCCAACTTTTTACATAAAGAATAAACTTCAGATAAAGTGAGAGGTAGGTGAGCTGATCTTACCTGCATTGATCAGCACCAGAGCACTGAAGAGAGCGATCTGCTGCTCAGTGAGCTTTAGACCACACATGTCATGAGCGAAGTCAAAGACTGCCATGATCAAATCACCACATGCTGCAAGAAAAGACACCACAGAGAACTGATAAACGACCGCATTTATATAGTGTACTCATTACATCAATGGTTTCAGATCTGCATCTGTGCTTCAGGAAGGATCAATGTGTAGAGGAATCCTCACCCAAAGACTTGAAAATTTCAGCTCCAGCAAATTTCCCATCAAAGAAGACGGTGTTATTCTCTGTGTTGAAGAACCGACTCATCCTGACCAGAACCACCTCCATGGAGCCTGTGTGACACAGGGAAGAAAGGAAGAAGAGGGAGTGAGAGATTCAAAGCATTTTAGATTGGGGTAAAAGCTGATGATTTGTTTTTGTGAGTGACAGGTAACCTCACCTGTCTTGAGTAGCGCAATTTGGTCGTTCTGGCTGAGCATACGGAAACCTGGGATGTGTTTTGCAAACTCCACCACATACTGCACGGCATCAGTCAGTCGAATGGCACAGTGCTGCCACATCTCATCCACTGACTGAGAGTAAAATTGGAAGGATAGTAGTGGGATCATTTAAAGGTTCATTTCTCTGTGAAATTTTTACAACGTAGCATTTCAATCAACCATAAAGAGCTCAATTTTTTATCCCTTATCCTACATGTCTACACAAATTCCCCCCTCACTCCCAACCATTCAGTCTACTGCTCTTTCTCCTAATTAAACATATAATTTTTTCTCAATTCAAATATTATAAGATATATGGCATATATTACAATATAATGTGCTATAACATCATTTACTTTAAACTGAACATAAATTTTCTGTGTGATCAAAGAGAAAGAGGAGGAGGGAAAATGATGAAACAAGTTCTCTCAGTTTTCTGTTTGATTCATCAAACACAAAAGTAGCATCTGAAATGACATGTTTTGTTTTGAGACTGTCTGAATAAGGTCACACAAATGCAAGACTATGTGTGAGAACCCGTAAAGAGAGGAGGAAACAGTATAGTTGGTATACTTTGCTCTGGTAGGCTTGGAGCTCCTCCCTGCTGAACAGCTTCCATCTGAGAGCCTGCAGCTCCTCCACTCTGTACTGGCTGGTCTCTCGATGGGAACGCACAATGCTGGCACACAGCTCATCTGAAAAAAGTAGAAGCTCTCATTAATATTAGGAACACAACACATTTATGTACATGTTAGCCCACTGTGCAGTTTGCCCACCTATATTTCGCAGAGAGTGAGGATAGATGCTGTAAGGGTCCTCCAGAGGGTAGGGGTGAATTGCCATCAGATCATGCGATGGCTGTCTAGAGTCAAATCCTGACATGAAGAATAGAAACAAATTAGGAACAGAGAGAGAAGGATTAAGGCAATGGACAAAGTGAAGTTTGTTCACACAGGAGTGCCTCACCTCTAATGTCAGGGTGCCCACTGTTGTCCCCTTTCCCCTGGGACCGCATTGTGGGAGAGACACTGGAGCCTCGGTAGATCATTCCCGACACCTGTGACTCGTTCGGGGAGCACACAAGATAAGGATGAACATCAGTGGTGTAGGACAGCAGCTCAGCCTCACCAGCGAAGGAGTAGGCCGAGGCCATGGGCTGAAGGAGCTGGGGGGAGCGGTCTTGTCGGGCTTTGGTGGAGTAGGACAACACAGACTGGGCGTCTCCCTGAAGCTGCTGCTGTTGCTGCTGCTGCTGTCGGTGCCTCTCCACTTCAGCGATCAGAGAATCACGCTGACGTTTGGACATCCGTCCAAACTTCACAGCTGAGGAGGATAAAAAAAATAAGAAATTGCTGAGAATCAAGAATAGCATGGGGCTGTCTGTGTATCAGTGTGGGTGTTTTTGTGCCTCACCATCTCTGCTCATGCCCTGTGCCAAGCACTTCTGCAGACGGCAGTGTTGGCAGCGGTTGCGGCTGGCCCGGTCAATCTGACAGTTACTCTGCCTGGAGCAGGAGTACGACACAGTGGGCAGCTGGCTGCGCCGGAAAAATCCCTGAGGGGGTGAATAACTTATGGTTAACAGTCCAACAGAAACACAGTTTTTGAGCCAGATGTGTTTGATATTGTTTCAAAAGTCTGATGATGGTATGTCAGTTTTTTTTTTTTTTTAAGTTGTGACCAAGATTTGTAATGAGCAGGTAATTTTAGTGTTGGAAGATAAACCTGCCAGCATCTGTCTTTCTCTGTCATTTTCTTGTTACATATGAGATACCAAATTAGAAACATCTGCAATCTGTTGATATATTGGTCTAGCTCTAATGGTTAAAGAAATTTTGGGAAAGCTTATTTACTTTCTTGCTGAGAATTAGATGAAAAGATAGATACCATTCTCTTTCTGTTCAACATGAGGCGGGAACCAGCAGTTAGCTTAGCTTACCATGTTATCTAGCTAGATGGCTCTGGCAACCAGTAAAGGCTCCAAGAAGTAACTGCACCCAGCCAAGAAATAGTCCAATGCATAACCCTCCATAACACTACAACAAGCTGATTTTACACATTTATACGATTAAGCAAACAAGATACAACATGTTAGCTTAAGAGGTGCTGATAGCTGGACATTTTCTATCTTTAGACAAAGGCCAGGCTAGTTGTTCCCCCTCATTTCCAGTCTTTATGCGAACAGGCAGCTGGCTGAAGCTTCATATTGAACATACAGACATGTTAGTGGTATCAACCTTATAAACTCATATGTGTGAGTGTGCAGTAATGCTGTTGCATTTTACCTTGCAGCCCTCACAAGTGATGACTCCATAATGCACTCCAGAGGACTTATCACCACAGATCTTGCATGGGATGACTTCAATCTGGGCTGAACAAACACAGAAGTAAAAGCGGTTATGTTTAACATTTTCAAATGCAGCCCTCTTATGTTTTACTTCACACATTTGCCGCTTCACGTTCACTCAGATTCTAGACCAGAAGGGACAAAACAGCTGTGGGGGAAACAAACGGTCTAAGCATGCAAAGGAAGAAGTTGTCAGTCTATTCAAAAATGCATATTTTTACCCAAAAAAGTAACCTGGAAAGCGATTCCCACAGTGAGAACTAATGTCTTCTGCTGTACTTCCCCTGAAACATCTATCAGTTGTTGTGTGACCAGAGTAAGCCAAAGGTATTTTCCTCTTAAACACCTCCTGTCTTAATAAAAAAAAAGAACAAACCAACATCAAATACGATGAGGACAGAGTCTTCGGGCGGTGTGGAATATTTGCAAATGGAGACAGGCAGAGAATATGAAGGTGTCAACCTCAGAGTCCTTTTAAGTGGTTGACTGGCTTCTCTTTCACTCTGACTGTCCCTCTTTCATGTCATTTCTTTCTTTGTGAATCCTTCTCTGTCTCGCTCATAAAGGACACAGCTGCCAGTAATGCACTCTCCTTCATCACTGCCAGTAATGGCCATCCCCCTCTCACCTCCCCCCATGCCCCTGATCTCTGTAAACTCTCACACCACTCAACCTTTTGGCTGGTGGCGATTTTTGTCAGAATCAGAAGTGATTTGATTTATTAAAGCACCACAAATGTAGAAACACTGTCTTAGTGACAGTTGTGAAAAGCTTTTATGTATGTCCTCAAAAACGTATATTTTCCAACAAAAATGATGAAGAGGAAAACGCATCGCAAACTGTGAAATTCACATTATATGACATAGTTATTGTAACATTGAATGATGACACACATACAGGAAGCAGAGCATGCAGTATTGTCTTTCTTTTTTTCAAACCTAAGAAATCTCTGGTTTTATCTGTTCCTGTCATCTCCTCTCTTCCTTCTACAAATGCGCTGACAGTGTGATCGTCTTCTGCAAGTCAAGCTCGCTTATGATGCTTATATACAGTAGTATTTGCGTTTCCGTGCATAACTGTGTCAGATTTATTCACGACTGTGTGTTAGTGTGTCAGTGTGTGCCCTCTTTATCTAGTGGCACAGGGATCACCTGAAGGCTTCCAGGGAGGCTGGCCAGTCTGAGGTAAAATAAATACAGACGAAGAGCTCATTAAGCTTGTATGATAAAGCAGGAATAATCACTGCACAGCTGATAAGTTTGTAGCTGCTGCTAATAGATGTGATTGATTAACCCCAAGATTGACCATGAAAAGGATTAGAGAATTTCACAACCAGATAATTTGGTTAAAATAAGATGACCAATGGAAATATTTCTCTGCAAGCTAAATATCTTTTTTTTTTCTAAAAACCCACTGAGCTGTGACTATGATTACATTTCTGCAGGATAGGCGGAGAGAACATCAGTGGTCTCTATTTTTTCGCTATTTCAGTTCTGATTGTCAACCTCAAACAACAGGAAATCCACTGTGACCCACAACCTTTCACTGTTCACACACGCACTCACACAGCAAAACACACACAGCAATCACATGCGCTGCTCCTCCATCAACTTTTCATGCAATCATAGCTCTGGCAATACTCAACTGAATCTAAATGATACACAAAACACAAAGCATGTTTTCTAAAGCAGCATCAAGTTAAATCATTTTATTTTTTCTTTTTTTTGTTGCCAAACTAAACCATATCATTCTGTCATGTCTTTTGATGGTAAGAGAGTATACAAACACCAGGGGCTTTAAAAAGAAATGAACGTTAACACTAAGGAATCTACATTCGCCTTTTTTTGTCTCTCTGTCTTATCTCTAGCCACAGGCCTAGACCAATCAAGCCCAGCATCTCCTTGTGTGTGTTTGCAAGCATGTGTGTGTGTGAGAGAGATAGAGATAAAAAACACAAAAAAAAAACTGAACTGTCTATATTTCTTCCATTAGCGTGTTCTTCAGTAATCTTAGAGGGTTTGATGTGTCTTGCACACAATTTGGCTGAAAACCAGCAAACAAATGTAAATTGAATTTAAAGTCTCACTTTGTTTTACTGGAAAAAGCCTAAATATTGAAGCTTGTATTGACTATTCTCACCTGCTCCACAGCTCAGCATGACCTAATTAAACGGTTTTTGTGGTTAAAAGATATTTTTGTACTGTAGATCTGTATCTGAAGTGTGTTTTTTATTTTTACTGTAAAGCACTTTGAGCTACATCTCTTGTAGGTAAGGTGCTTCATAAATAACTATTATTATTATTATCATATCTATTTTTATTTTTATTTTCATCATCGGCTTAAGCACATGATGCTCAGTAACAATGAGCAAAAACGAAAATTCATTTTGCTACCCAAGCAACACTATTTACTTTAGCTGCTATATGTCATGATTTGCAATATCTCTTAACCTTAACTCTTCCACCTGCATGGTCTCTCAACCCTATTCACACAAAACTTGTCTTCTTTATGTTTTTAACACCTCCCTACAGGTGTTTTCCCCACCTCTTTCTCAAGCATGCTGTTGCCCCCCCTTTAGTGAATAAGAGTAATAAGTAGCAACTATAGACCAATAATTTCCAACCTGGCTGTTGCTGGTAAAATCTTTGTAAAGGTTGTCTACAAACAACTGCACAGCTACCTAGCCCTCCACAACCTGTATGATGTGAACCTGTCTGGTTTTAGGGTGAATCCTAGCATTGAAACTGCTTTTGTCAAAGTAATCCATGATCTTAAAATCAACAACAATGCAAACAAACGTTCTAATCTTGTGTTGTTAGATCTGAGCGCCTCTTTCAACACTGTTCATCAGGGCTTTCTACTAAATATACTTGAAAACTGTATTGGCTTATCTGGACCTGCTCTTCAATCGTTCTCAAACTATTTAAAATAAAGGACTTTATATCTTTTGGCAACTTCACATCTGAATAAGTCAATATTTCCTCTGGGGTTCCACAAGGTTCAGTTTTTGGTCCACTGCTATTCAATCTATACATGCTCCCTCTTGGTACCATCATACAGAATGCAATGCAGTCTATGCCGATGATACACATCGATATGTCTCTGTGTCTGTCTCTCCTTTGACAGCCTCAGTCCTGTAAATGTGCTTGTCAGATGCATTGATGACATCAACCACTGGATGTCTCATAACTTTCTACAACTTAACAAAGAATACACTGAAATTCTGTTTGTTTGGATGAACAAGAACTGTGTCCATGGATTTGTCTTTTTTTCTGTAAAGCACAGTGAACATGTTAGAAACCTGCATCACTTCCATCATCACATCACCGCCATTACAAAGACAGCTTTCTACCATTTAAAAAAAACATTTCCAAACTTAAAAGCTTCCTGTCCCAGACTGAAAAATGGTGCATGTACTGTACTCATCTCCAGCAGATTTTGCAGGACCAGGAAACTACAACACATTGCAGCTGTACAGAAAACACTTCATTGGCCCGTACAGTACAAAATTGACTTTTAAGTATTACTGCCCTTAGGCCTTAAATGATATGGCTCCTCCCTGTGTGTGTGTGTGTGTGTGTGTGTGTGTGTGTGTGTGTGTGTGTGTGTGTGTAAGGTTGCTGTATGTACATATGTAAGTGGAGTATTTATATATGTGTTTTACCTCATTTAGTTAGAGTTTACCTGTGTGTGCAATCTGACTTGACTTAACAAACCATCAACATTTTCTGCCAACCACAAACACACCACACAAAGCTGTACTAACTTATTTATACTGAAGTGAGATTATTTTTGAAAAACAACCAATTAAATCGATTAAAATTTTTCATTCTAAAATGAATTCATTATTGTGCTGGATGATGTTAAAAAGGCAAGAGGTTTGAGTATAGTATGTGCAGTGATGGAAATATTCAGGCGTGTCAGTCAAAATAAAAGAGTGCCACCTCCCACGCTTCCGCATGTAAAGTATACCAAGACATTGTTACACAGAGATAGTCTGATTTATGCCTTTCCAATCAGTATTTAGAATTATCAATTACTTACATGCTCCCACTTAAAAAGCACATTTGTCAGTGTCGTCGTACAAACGACAGAAGCTTCTGTGTATAACAGTAAAGAGAAATCATTAAACATTTACAGGTTTGTCTTGAGTCGAATGACTTTGAGTTCTCAAGTTTTGTGATTCTCAGTCTGGATGACCTCTGAGCTTCCAAATACGATAAATCAAACTGAACAAGCCTTAAATATACAGAAAAACTGAAACATTTGGTGGAGGGAAGCCAAATGAAATGACAAGTACTGCAAAATACCAAACACGAAGAAAATTATAATAAACAAGAAAAAAAGACAGAAAACCAAATATTTCAACCTAGAAAGAGGTTATTTCAGTACTTTCACCACTTTGTGTGTGTGTGTTTGTGTGTTTGTGTGTTTTTGTGTGTGTGTGTGTGTGTGTGTGTGTCTATGTGGGGCATCTGGGGGGTTGGATGATACAGACTGCCACTCTCAAGTCCTCAGTCTCTGCCTTGTCAGCAGTCTGTTCTTTGCACTGTAAACGGACAAAAAACCTCAACTTTCCTCTGACGGAAGCTTACCTCAGGTGCATACGCAAGCAAGAGTGCAAACAAAGTTTGTATACACACACGCAACACACACAAACAGACCAAGAAACTGTTTATCGTTCAAAAAATAGACTGTTAATCAATCACAAGTTTTTGTATTACACGTTATCAGACCCAGGATAAGAGAAACACACAGTTTGTGATAACTTCATTTATCTACAACACCACTAGTTTGAAAGGTTTTCAGAACTTATGTAACATGATTTAAAAATTATGTTTATAATCAAATTATTATTAAATTATGTTTCTCATTATAATTAATAATAAATTTGCAATCTGCTGTAATTCATTTATATTACACTTGAATTTTAGTTTAGTATGTTGCTGAGGCAAGATGTTTAAAATATTTCAAAAGTTTTGTTATTTAAAAGATCATACATCACTTTGTTAATAACCACACTATATTTTCTATTGTGTTAAAATTCAATAATATACACAATAATAATAAATCAAATTTGCCATTTGACAATACAGTAAATAAAAAGGTAAATATCGTACAATGTATCAAACTAAGTCCAACTATAGATTCATTGCTCCTGTCGTGCAAAGCTGAACATCTTCTCTAACCGCTCTAAAAATGACTTTGACCTACTGAAATAATATTTTTATATTGAGGACTGAAAATCCCTTCAAATAACTGTAACCTGTATTTAAAACCAGAAAAAGAATTAAAGAAGAGAAATAAACAGAATAAATAGTATTTGTCATCAAGCAAAACAAAGTTATTGCCAAAAATAACAAATTGAGGTTGAGATATTCTAATAAGAATATATTTCACACCATTTTTCTGTATCAAAAATGCAGGTGTGAAGTGTCTTAATGTTTGTGAATCAGCCTGTGCTGATCGTTACATGAATGTGAGAACTCCTTCACTACTAAGTTTCATTCAATATGTGAAAATAACAAAATGAGAATTACCCACAGTACCTTATCTCAGAAAAAGACAAATTATCAAAGCAGATCTGAACAATCAATTAGAATCAGATTTACCATATTGGACTTTGAAGTGCAGACTGAATTTGGGGGTGTTTGAAAGAGGTAATGTTTTGACAGGTATGAATCAGCTCAACTGTTGTATTTCATTTACCATATTTTGGGAGGGAATGTGTCACCTGCGATTTTGATGTTTGCTTTGATCTGAATTATACCACTTTTGCTGCTTTGGAAGTGCTGTGCAGGTTTGAGCAGCCAGAGGAACAAGGAAATCCTTTCTGATCAAGAAACTCTATAAGAATCTACACAGGAATCCCCCGAACACAACAACAAAGCCTTATGAAATGTGTGTGTGCATAAACTGTGATGGCACTAAGCCCGCTCTGAGTGTGTAGCACTAGAAAATTAGACAATTAGCTGAGGTAAAGACACCTCCTTCCCTCTCTGAACACAGCTGCAGAGCTGACATGAGTTACATCTGGGCGCCATTAAACAAGCAGCTGCCGATCTGTGTGTGCATATATTCTCGTATCTGTGTTTGCATGTTGCAAGAGAAAAAATGTATAAGCAGCTTGCACAAAGAACATTCATTATTTCTCATTATTTGCCTCTTCCCCCTTTCTGTGCTTTTATTCTATCGACTTTGAATATTTGTGTGTATGAAATCAAATTTATTATAATTTTTATTGTCAAAGCTTCAAATTATAACTACCATTTCCTCTGCATCCTGTACATGTGTGGAGTCAGTCCATTCAAACTGATGTACTGCAGTTGTGAAGCGTCCTGTTTTCCTGTCTCTTTCGTTTTTACGTTGGTTAGAATTCAGTGGAAGTATTTGCAAAAAGGTTTGCAACACACTAAATGTCATATATTAACCTGGTCCCTTGGGTCTTCAGTAGTTTCATTTGTTAGTTAAGATATCTTACTATACAAATATGATGACGCTTAACAAGAGCTAATGTGCAAATCAACTCAAAACATGTGAAGTTTGTCTGAAAGAGCGTAACATTTTATACAACTCACTGCACCACAGTTCTCAGCCTTTAAAATCTGCTCAGTGTCTTGCCTGAGGTGCACTATATACGTGGGAGTGAGAAAAAGAAATATCTGAGACATGATTCAAATCTTTAATCCATCAAAGGGAGCTCAGAATTGAGTCATGTTACCAAACCATAAAACTGAAACACATATAGATGAATGTACCCAACAGTCAGCCAATCGAAAACTCTGAAGAGACACATTTAAGTTTCAAAACAAAGATCATCAGTCTGTACATGCTGTACGACATGAACATGTGTGTGTTATGGGATTTGTTACGGATTAAAGTGTAAACATTAAATAAAGCATATGAAATTGTATATTATTTTTGACATAAGAAAAAATTATGAATTCAGAGCCACTTTGAACCTTTACTGTTCAACCCGATGTTACATCAAAAAAGAAAAGTGGGAACCTGAGTGAAAAGCGTAACCACATAATGTGATAAAGTTGAAAAAAGTTGTTTGAAGCCATTGGTGCCTATGTCTGCATAAATTCACAGTTATTCAGAATTGATAAAAACCTGATAAAAACAAAAAAAGAAAAGAAACAGCTGTTTAAAACTTAAACGTGTCGTTATCACAAGTGTCACAAGTGTCATTATTACAATAATCATTAAATATAAAATCATATAAAAAAACTATGACCACAAAGCATATACTTGATCAAATTGATAAAATATCATTTACTGTACTGCCCACACTCAAACACACACACAAACACACGCACAAACAATCACACACACACACACACACACACACACACACACACACAGACAGACAGACAGACACACCAAAGAACTTCATCCCTACCTCGCATCATCATCACTCCTCCACTCGTCTCAGACGTTTGTCCCACTTTCACAAACTCACTTTTCCTCTCACTTTGTCTAACAATATTCTTTCTTTTGACACACCTATTCTTTCACCCTTCCTTCTGTTTTTTTTTTGGTCGTCCTTTAGCAAGCCCGGCTGGGTGCTCACTGCAGCTTCAGCATGCATATTCAGACTTTTGAGTGTCAGTCACCGCCTCACCTTCCTTGTTAGCGTGTGTGTGAGTGTGTGTGTGTGTGAGAGAGAGAGAGAGAGAGAGAGAGAGAGAGAGAGAGAGAGACAGAGAAAGGGAGAGAGAGAGGAGAGGAGACAGAGATAAAGAAAAGGGGGACTGTCCCCTATAGCTTGGCTTTTTTCTCAAGGTACTTTTTCCTTATACCTTTGTTGTTATCCTTCACCCCCTCACTTTGTACCACACGTCAAAAATTACCCTTATATCGACTGGCACCTTTAAGACTCCCTGAGAATTTATATCAAACCACTTTCAACAGTAAAAACTGGGGAGGCAGACAAAAATGTAAGTTACAGAAACATTTCAGATATTATTTATTCTCAAACTCAACAATTGTCCTGCACATTAATGTTTCTTTACACTGAGTAAAAAAATTGTTATCAGTTTATCAACTAAAGAATAATTTGTTTCCTCTTGCAACAACCTCACCTCTTTCTAAGCTTAACTCTTTACTGTTTATCTTATTACAGTTTAATTTGAAGAGTTTCTGCAGTGATGGAAGAAGCAGTCAGATCTTTATAGCACAGGATTAAAAAAATGACTATATTTATGACAGATAAATGTAGTACAATGTTTGCCTCTGAATTCTTGTGGAGAAGAAGAAGAAGTCAGCTGAAAATGGACAAGCTAAAATAATTAAGAATGTACTGGCATACAGTACTTGAGTAAATTTACTTAGTTACAACCCATCACAACTTTCCCCAGCTCTATCTCATCTCTCCGTGACTGATACACCAAACAACACAAGACCTCGTGGATCTCTATCTTCCTTTCTGCTAACCTCTGAAGCAAAATCTAAGATGATTCCTCATTTTACACACACGTGCACTCATTCACAAGCAATGATCAATAGAGTCATTATTATTTATGCCCAGTTTGTTTATCATCACACCACCTAACATGAAGGTTGGTGGTGCATTACACACAGCATCTCCACACTTGATAACATACCCAGGTGTGCTAAAGTTGTGGCAGAACGTGTTAAACCAAAGAAGTTAAAAAAAGGCAAGATGTTATCGCTGTCATCTGCATTCAGATGCCAACGCTATAGTAATTAGTGTGTATGTGTGTGTGTGTGTGTGTGTGTGGTGTGTGTGTGTGTGTGCGCGCTGTGTATTGCACCTGTGATGCCCGCCTCACACACACACTCACACACACACTGTGCTGTTAATGGCCCAACTCCAGCGATACCACACTGTGTGCGTGTGTGTGCGTGTGTGTGTGTGTTGCTCTACAGGTGCAATGTTGTATGTTCACTAACTATGAAGTTAACCACAATGCATGCACAAATATCTAGCACAAACACAAGCAATGTTATTACCACATACAGACATACACATATGCGCACACGCACGCACGCACGCACACACACACACACACATACACATACACACACACACACACACACACACACACACACACACACACACACACACACACACACACACACACACACACACACACGCTAACTTACAGATACAGTGTTTTTATGAGAAACTTACTCAGATGAGTCTTCTTGGACACGGCTCCTCCTGAGGCAGACAAAAAGATGCAGGTAGTGAATTAAAGCTAAACAACACTGTCAATCTAGGTTTTACTACAAACTGTAATACATAGGAGGGCCCAGGTGTATATTTTAGAAAAGAACCATAACATGTAATATACTCATGACCTTTTCACATAATCTAAGGCTAAACTCTGTTAAACAGATTGAACACAGGACTAAACAACATTTCCAAAAGGTGCTGCTTTTGACTGAGAATTTAAAACCTGCCAGGTTTGGAAAGTAACTAAGTACATATACTCAAGTGCTGTACTTAAGTACAATTTATAGGTCCTTTTACTTAACTTGAGTATTTCCTCTTTCTGCTATTTTATACTCCCACTACATTTGTGAGGGAAATAATGTCCATTTTACTCCTCCTGGAGTTACAGTATAAAAACTGACTAAACTAGCACCACCTTGAACCACCAACATGAAAGAACTGCTTACATGTTAATATTTCAATAATAACGATCCAATAATACAGTATAACAATGACCGGGGGCATTCTGCTTGATGAATACTTTTATTTTTGACACTTTAGATACAGTTTGTTGCTAATAATTAGGTAAAACTTTGAATGCAGGACTTTTTACTTGTCATTACATATTTTCATAGTTCCTTGCCGCTTCTTTTACCTGAGTAAATGATCTGAATACTTATTCCATCAATGAAATGATGCAATATTGAAACCTATCAAATGTGCAGTTGAGCATGTTTAATACACAGGGTCAGCTTTTAACCAAGGGATTAACTGAAACTAGCATAAAATGTGAAAGAAACTAAACCAGGCTTCAAGTTAATCTGTGGCTAATACAGATTCAGCTGTGATAAACTACTCATTGTCAACTCATCCATGCAGTTTGGTCCAGGGTTTGCAGAATGTATTTTTTTTTTTTTGTATTTTCTCCCATGTATAAAGGGCTGTGGACAGATAAAAGCCTTGGTGATAGCAGAGAGGTTAAAAAAGAGGATTCTTATTTACAGTGGTGCGTTTGTGAGGCTCTTCGGCACATGTACACACACACACACACACACACACACACTGAGAAGATAAAGGCGGAGGAAGGTGGGTGTCTGTGAAGCAATAGGTCCTCCTTTTTTGTCTGCCTGTTTGACCACAATTGTGAGAAAGTCTGAATTGCTGTGAATGTGAGTAAGTGCGTGGACGGTCGGTTCTGAACCAAGAGGGTTTATTTCTGGAGTTGTATGTATCTGTGTGGGTGTGTATGTGTGTGTGAGACAGAGAGGTTTAAAGGCAGGGGTGATAAGTATCAGTGGAAGACGTAGCGCTAGCCGGTCTTTGTCTGGTGCCAGATCAGGCCCTCTGTGGTTTCCACTGTTTTCCTCCCCTCATCAAATCAGTTTTGCTTCATAAGCAGAAAGCATGGAATGAAAGCAGAGCAGTGCACACGCACACGGAAAATGTAAAGAAATTTCAACACTAACTGAACAAACCTTGAGGTTATTGCTAAATAAAATGCAGAAAAAGAAAATTCAATCATGTTTAAAATTAACTCTTTCAGAACCAAATAGAAGCATAATTTCCAAATTGAGAGCAATGCATTTTTACTTATTTAGCATATTTAATATGTTAAAAAATGACATAAACATAGCATTAATGTGTTTCCAGCGAGGAGGATAAAGACCAATTTTCCTTGTTTTCATCAGTCAGTTATAAAAAATAAATAAATTGTTCCTAAAACATAAAGATGATGTTTAAGGTTGTTTTTTTATCTGATGACCATGATTACTGCACATACATTTACACATTACACATTCGTGAAATGTGTTTTAGAAATTCTAAAATATTAAAAGTTATCTCACAACAGCTGTGTTCAATTTTAATTGTGTTCAATTTCTAATGAAATCACCAACATCTGCCTATGTACAAAGTAAGTGTGGCATGCCCACATTTAGCAAGACAAACCCGTCAGCATGGCCTTAAGCACAACACACGCATACACACATACAGCTGAGTACATGAACCTGATGACTACAGAGGCACAAACATCACCACCACTCATCAGTCAAAATCTCACTAACGTCTCTACACTCTGACATCTAAGCTGACTGCTGAAGTGACAGTTGCTGCGTTACATAACAACACTGAAGACCACTGAACCCAGAGAGTAGCCCGACAACTTTGCCTGAATATAAAACATGATGCATCCCGTATCCCGCACAGAATACATAATTATTATATAATTATTACAAAAAATAATGCTAATATATTACACCTGTCATGTCCATGTAATATATTGTTCTTTTAAAAAGTAAATAATAAAAAAAATATGAGAAAGTAATTTGAAAAATAACAAAAAATTTCAACATAGAATGAAAACAATTAAGTGTGACAACAAAGATATACTAAACACACAGAAACAAAAATACATGTGTATAAATTCTGTTAAAAACCAGCCTGATAAGGCAGGTTTGGATGTTGGTCAGGGTTAGTGTGGTTATCAACCAGAAAGTGCACTTAGCCCTTACTCTTCAGTGCTAATAAAAGATATCTGAGGATTTTGGGCTCATAAATCACCTATAAAAATTTATTTTAAAAAACAAAAACAAAATTAATTCCAACATTAATATGAATTAATCCTACCACTGGCAGTCAGTGAGATGAAGCTAAAAATGCTCTCATTTAATAAAGAGTTAAAAAAAAAAAAAAGAAGACGTCCGAGTAATCAAGCTGAGACAAAAATAAGAGCAACATTCACAGTTTCAAGGGGATTTTAAAAAATAAATGTTGTAGAATCTATTGTTGTAGAAAACAATGCATAACTGTTTAAACAAGTGACTGACTGAATGATTAAAAGTGACCATAAAGGGTATAAAAATACATTAGTAGAAAGGCCAATACAGTTGTCAATGTTCAAAATGAAAGTCAAATTCAAGGTCTGAAGTTGCATGACATCAGCAAACAGACCATGAGATGTTAGATATCACTTTGGCTTACAGAGAGATACTGTAACAACAGACTATTAAGTTAAAAAAAATATTACAGCAGAATAACATACACAGTGTGTAGAGAAGAAGATGGGACCCACAATAGATCCCTGAAGGACACCAAAGACAATTTGTATCCAATAATAAACAGGAACCCAGATTTACCCTACAGGCAGGAAGAAGAGCAATGTGGAGCCGTACCAGACACGCAAACCCAGTACTCAAGAAAAACGAGAAGACACCCACATCAGTCTCTAAAACCAAGACACTGGTTACCTTAAGATGAGCCATCTCAGCAGTATGACAAACACTACAACCACACTGAAACTCCACTTTAACCAGATTAAAACATCATTACAGCAGTTCCAGTACCTGATAAATTAGCCTCTGTTTTTGTTCTCA